CCCCCTTGGACCGTTGTCAGCAGATGTCTGGCCTCGTGCAAACTGGTTCGTGGGGGCGGCTGCCCTCAGCCCTCGCCGTCCCCATCCCTCTAGCCACCGTCCACGGGCCGTCGGCCTCAGGCACGGCAGAGTGTCCGGTGATCGAGCACAGAGCCTTGGGCAGTGGCGGGAGTGTTCAGAGTCTGCGCTGGACGTGAGTCGAGAATACCCACGTCCCGGCAACTGCCACCTGCTAAGGGTTCCCAGGCAGAGGCTGTCCTTGGTTTCTCTTGAGGATCCAGGTGTAGGCCTCAGCCTTGAGGGTTGTCACCGAACTCCACAGTTTGTAGACACCTTGATTTCTGCGTTATATCCTCCCCTCCCCCACCCGCCAGCCAAGATGTTTTTCTGTTCTGAGTGTCAAAAACACAAAATCCAGCCAGTGCACGGTGGCTCATTCCTGGAATCCCACCATGATCAGAAGACTCAGGTGGGAGCATCGCTTGAGGCCAGGAGTTTGAGACCAGCCTGGGCAGCACAGTGAGACCCGGCTCTAAAAAACTAAAAACATTGCCTGGGCATGGTGGCGTGTATCTGTAGTCGCGGCTACTTGGGAGGCTGAAGTGGGAGGATCGCTGGAGCCCAGAAGGTCGAGGCTATGGTGAGCCATGATCGGTTGTACCACTGTACTCCAGCCTGAGTGACAGAGCAAGACCCCGGTCTCTTAAAAGAAAAAACAAAAAGCCCGTAAAGTCACTTGATCAGAGAAAGGCATTTATGTAACGGAGATGTTTACGGGACTGACTTCAGGCAGGGCTGGATCTGGGTGCTCTCGTGCAGTTGCCGGGAAGCCATCTCTGTCTCAGTTCTGCCTTCCTCTGGGCTGGCTTCTTTCTAAGCAGACTCTCCCTGTGTGGGGACCCAAATGGCTCTAGTAACTTCAGGCTGGCATATACGTGGCTAGCAACCTCTGTGGTAAGAGTCTCTCTCCTTCTCAGTGGTTCCGGCAGAAGTCCCAGAGTTGGTGTTCCTTGGCTTAGCTGGGCCCCAGGCCCATGGCTGAACCAGTCCCAACCCTGGCCCCTGATGCCTCCTTTGGAGACATGGCTTAAAGGGGGGCCAGCACTAAACTGAGTAACGTGGTACTGTCACACAGCTCATCGGATGAGGTAGAGCATTCTGGGTTGTCGCGGTTGAGATATACACGTGAACTTTGCAGTGTATGTGTCTTCTTTTATGAGCTGCCCATTGTCTTTTAACATGGCTTGGCGTCTGTCAAGGTACGGAAACCTTACTTTTTAATGGTGAAATCTGTCCATTTTTTTCCCCAGCCTGAGGTCTTTGGCTTTTGACGTTAGGCCCAGTGACGCTTCTCCAGGAAACACAAGCCCCACACGCGCGCGCCGTGTGGGCAGGGAGACCAGAAGCCTTAGATCTAGCTCAAAACTTGTCGTTTTTCTGTTGGATAATGGTTGGTTTCTGGCTGAGAGAATGATGAAACAAGCGCTGATGAGACCAGAGCACAGAGACGTTCCCCAGACATGTGAGGCCTGAGGTGCCTCCGGGTCTTGGTCTGGAAGGAGAAGGCTTTCGCCCCCTGACTGTTGCTCGTGCTGCCCCTGGGGGCCCTTGCGATGGCGGTGGTGTTGGCGACAGGCTCTGGGGCCGGGAGGTTGGGCTTTGCGAGGAAGGTCCACAGAGAATAAGCGGGCTTGGAAGCTGTCCTCCGTGGCAAAGGCATCCCTGCCCGCCCCTGGAAACCGGCTCCCTCGGCTGCCGGTGTGGCCTCCCACGGAAGGTGTGGCTTCCCGGCCTTCCTGCTGGTGGCCTGCGAAGGACAGTCCTACAGGGAGCCTTGGAGACAGAGGAGTGGGGTTGTTGGAGGAGAGGAGGATGCGTGGGGAGAGAATGGGCGCTTTTTGCTAGGACTGGAGAGAGGCCGGGATAGCTTTGATGCCCGAGGTGTGGCTTTTGGCTGAGCCCATGCGCAGGGGCTAGCGTGGTCCGGCGTCCCGCCGCCATGGCGTACATCCTCTTTGTGCTGTATTTCTCCTTCTTCCTCTGCCTCTGTGCCCTGGTGTGCCTGTACTTCTCGGGCTGCCAGGAGATGACCTATAAGCATGAAGGTAAGCGGCTGGCTCTGGGGGCGTTTCCGAGTTTCCGTGGACATGCCCGGCTGTGACCGGATGCCCCTGCGGTGACCGGCCAGTCTGCTGGGAGTGATGCCAAGACCGGGGTCGGGCAGCTGAGGGAGGTGGGACCCCGTCGAGGAGCTCTTTCTTGGGGGGATGCCTCCTCTTTTTCTCTGCGTCCCATCAGACCCAAGAAGGAGCATCACTGCAGATTCCAAGAGTTAGGGCAGAGGAAATGTCACTCTTGGTTGATTTTTGCCAAAACTAAATCTTAAACTCTAGATTTGTTTGTCGAAAGCAGTCAGCAAGGCAAAGTTGGGGTCTGGAGGAGTCTTTCCCGGTCGTAGGGGTGCTTGGAGTGAGCCAGGGATGGAAATCTGTGCTCCCGAGTGACTCTTGTGAGGATGTGCCCAGGGAGTCTTAGAGGAAGTGACACACGGAAAACTTGACAGTTTCTTTCACGCATGATTTTTTAAAGCCTGCTGTATGCCAGCCAGAAGAGGAAGCACTATTTTCCGGGTGGTTCTCCCCTCCTCCCTAGGCAAACAGGTGTCAAATTCTTTTCTGTGTACTTGGAAAGTGCAGGCAAAACAAGGTACGTTGTCACCGAGAAGGCAGCGACCATATTTTTTACTTTGAACACTCAAGAGCCTTCTTCGATTTTTTTATTAATAAAGATGCAAATACACTTAGTACACTTAGGCTTTCATATAATATAATCACTTTTTTTTAAAAAAAGACCCTTAAAGGAAACAAACCAACCCAACCAAATGTTTTGAAACCCTGGGGGTAGATCCCAGGCTCCTGCCGCCGTGGGGTGCGTGAGCTGCGTCCTGCGAGGGGCTTCTCTCCACGGCTGCAGGGTTGTTGCCTGACTGGCCTTTGCGTTTATTTCTGCCCTGGGAGCAGCTGCCTGTGTCCCTCAATCCTGCCTGGCTCTTGGGAGTCTTGGTCTCTGGGGCTGTAGGATACTTCAAGGGGCCCCACCTGGGCCCGGAGTTAGGTTGTTTACAAGGCGGCTCTACTTTCTTCTTCTTTTTTTTTTTTTTTTTTTGAGTTGGAGTCTCACTCACTCACTCACCCAGACTGGAGTGCAGTGGCCTCTCCTGGCCACCGTAGCCTCAACCTGCTGGGCTCCGGTGATCCTTCCACCTCAGCCTTCCGAGTAGCTGGAACTACAGGCACGCGCTACCATGCCCGGCTCATTTTTTGATTACAACACCTGCAGGGTCGGTCGTTAAAGCCCTGTGATAGGGCTGGGAAACTGGGTCCCACGAGGTTTCAAAAAGCGGCCGTGGAAACTGAGTCTTTTGATTTATTGTAGAGATGAGGTCGCCCCAAGTGGCCCAGGCGGGTCTCGAACCCGCGGGCTCAGGCCATCCACTCACCTCAGCCTCCTAAGGCGCGGGATTACAGGCTGAGCCACCAAGCCCGGCGAGACCCAATCTTTAAAACGAAAACAGAAAACAAGGCAAAGAAACAAGAAGGAATGTCAGATGAGAGCAGGGGCGGAAAGAAAAATGCCAAATGCAGAAACGTCCTGGTGACACAGGGTGGTTGGTGCTCCCTGCGAAACCTCTTGAGAAACTCTGTGTACGGTGACAGAGAAGTCCCTTCAGTCTCCTTCTGTGCCTTTTGCCTGAATTATTTCCTAGTGACATTGATTGTGGCACCAGTCATGTGCTTCTCACCGTTGCCGACACTGCAGGTGCACATTGGCATAAGCACGCAGGGTGGGAAGAGCCCGCCGCCCGTGGGGTGCGCCAGCCTCCTCTGTGGGCTGGAGAGGGCGGGGGTCTGTTCTGGATAAGCCAGGGAGAGCCTGGGGCTGGGCTCTGGACTTGAGTCCTGATTCCTTCTTCATGGTCTGACAAGCATTCATTGATTGTCAGATCGAATAAAAATTCTTCTCAGGGCCCATCTGGGGGGAAGAAAAGGCAACGGTTCTAACACAAAGGACATTGATCAGGTGATGGTCGGTCGGCCCCTAAGGGACCTCTGCGGCCCCTAAGGGACTCACGTGTCCAGGGCAGGGGCCCTGTCTGGTTTTGATTCTGTTTTATGCCCCAGGCCTGACCCGCACTCTCTGACCGATAGAAGGGGCTTGGCTAGTGTGGGCGGAACAAACGAATGAAGTGCCGTTTCCTGAGTTTCTTGAGGCGGGAGGAATCCCAGGCGGGGTAGCCCCGAGACTGGCACACAGAGCGTTAACGATGCCTCTGAATCTGAGTGACGGTGCACGAAGACCCATGCCACCATTCCTTATGATTTTGTAGGTTTCATACATTTTGTAAATGTCCCCAGTTTTCCACAATAAAAGGTGAAGCGGAACTTGGTCCTCAGGGCGCCTCGTGCGGACCTGGGCCCCGCGCTTGCCCCGCTCGTCAGGGTCCTGGGGTCCGTGGGTGGGCGGATCGCTCCTCCTTCAGACCCTCGCCCGTTTCGGGCGTCCACATCATCCGGGTTCTTCTCCTGGGAACTCAGCGTCTCCCTTGGCTCTGCCCCTTGGAGCAACGAGCGTTGCTGCGCATTGAGTGTGACTGAGCGTCCAGCACTGGGCCTGCTGCATGCGCTCCTTGGTGCTCACAGGGGAGGTGGGCCCTGTGTCCATTTGCTGGAGAAGGAAGTTGGCACTCAGGGGGCTTGGCAGGTGACATCAGCCGGCAGCTTGAGAGCCTGGGGTCCGGGTGGACCAGCTTCCTCCGGCTGCAAGCCCTCCTGCCGCCTCCCATCCCACCCAGTCAGGAAGCCCACCAACCACGTCTGGGGCTGCCCCGGTGACCCGAGCGCCAGTCGCAGCGCCCTCTGTGCCAGCGTGACAATGCCGGGGCCGGGGCGCTCTGGCAACCCTCAGTCTGTTGCTAACATCACGCATTTTGCATTTTGCAGAAGCATGTTGTGGAGACATTTTTTGGATTTGATGAGGAGTCTGTGGACTCGGAGACGTTGTCAGAAACGTCCTACAACACAGACAGGACCGACAGGACCCCGGCCACGCCCGAGGAAGACTTGGACGATGTAAGCAACCGCAGGGGGTGCAGGACCCCCGCCCCCCGTCCTGCCGCCTTGGGGCTGCGTCTGCTGTCCTGGACGGGTGAAATCTGCTCCCTCCCCTGTAGGTTTAGCCCCAGACGACCGTCCCCACCAGTGAATTACCAAAACCGATGCGTCCAGGGAAGGGGGTCCCCACGGTCAGGGGTCCCACGAAGGGCAGTGGGGGGCGGCACGTGGGACCCCACTTTCCCCAGCCCTGATTTTCCAGTCAAGGAACTCTGTGGCTGCCAAGGCAAAGCTAAGCCCCACACTGAAGCGTGTCGCCGTGGGTACACCCATCTGCAGCTGAACTTACCGCGTGGGAGTCTCGCCCTTGTCCTCACCCACAGGCACACACGCCGCCGGGTGGGAACAGTATCATTGCTTCTTCGTCCCTAAAGACAACGTGAGCAATCCCAAAAAGTGCAAAGAGGAAGGGAAGAGCCCCAGGAGTCCGGCGGCCACAGGTCCCTGCCATGCCCTTCCCTACCAGGCCCCTCACCCCGATACCGAGCTGGACTTGCCAGGGGGCACAGCACGGCCTCCGCCTCTCCCCCGCCCCAGGTGCTCCTCTCGGGAAAGCCCCGTGGCATCGTGGACACACCCTGCGGGTTTCTGGACCTTTCGGGGCAGTCGCGCTTCCCTCGTTTCCGAAACCCCAGGCCTCGTCCGCCTGGACCTCCGCCTGGCAGCCCACGGGGCCTGCGTCAGGCTTGGCTGTGATGTCCCTTCCCGGCCCTCGGGTGTTCGGGCCAGGGCTGCTGGTCTCGGGGCGATGCCCTCTGGCTGGGGTGGGCATCTCGGGGCAGGGCCCTCTGGCTGGGGCAGGGGACCCTGCTGCCTCTCATGGGAGCTCTCCTCTGAGCTTTCAAAAGCTCCCTGGGTCGGATAGCGCCCCTGCGGCTTCCTGGCGGGGCCATGGTCGTGGCCCTTCTGATACTCCCAAGTCCAAGACTCTGGGTGGCCCTCCTCCCATCGACTCCTGGCTGGGGTTCTTTCCTTCTCCTGGTGAACCCCTTCTGGGACGACTTCCAGGCTGGCTTCCTCTCACGGGTCATTTAGCCATAGGAGATGTGACGCGTGCTGTGGGAACTGCCACATCCAACTCAGGGTGGCCCACCTCTTGGCCACCTTGAGCCCAGGCACCAGTGACATGTGCCAGCTCTCCAAGCCGTCCCCTAACATCCCTTCTCATCCTGGGAGAGACACCCAGTCCTCCCCACCAGCCCACCAGCCTCCGCCCACGTGCCGGCTGGAGGGGCCTCGCCTGTGCTGGAGACATCACAGCCCACCGGCGTGTCCTGCACGGGGCACGGGACCAGGCCTGGTTCTCAGCCGCTGGCCCTCGCCTCAGTACGGGGTCTCATTTTCATACCCTGTGACATTTAACCTCATGTGGCCAGCCAGACACGTGTTTTTCAACTTGCTTTCTGTTCCAGCCAATGACAAGTCACGGGCATCTTTCAGCACAGAAATGCGTGGCTGCATTCCTCTGTCACCACCACGCAGGGGGTTTTCACATGACGGCACATCACACGTCTCATGGGCTCCTGATGAGGACACGTGTGTTGCTTCCGTTTGTCGCCCCTGTGAACAGTTTGCTGTTGGTCTCCATGTCTTATCTGCTCATGTGGCTGTTTCTTTTTCTTTTCTTTCTTTTTTTTTTTTGAGTTGGAGTCTCACTCTGTCACCCAGACTGGAGTGCAGTGGCC